GATTGGGATCACTTTATTCTATGATTAGTAGAATTCTACCGGAGAGGAAAAGATTAAGACAACATAGATGTAAACAATATGGATTATTTTAAAAAGCCTCATTGACCACTATAAATACTATACAAATGATTCAACAAGAAAAGCTGAAACTTACAGCAATCTCTAAACACTACATATGGTATTACAATATCTGGCAACGACCCTACCGACAAACCAAAACTCGAGCTAGGTGGGTGTCCCTGCCATCATACACGTAGTTTTATTATGACTTATCCCTTGGCAAAAATGGGGGTTAGTTGTTAGATTTATTGTAGGTTAAATGCTAAATTTAGTCTCTTAACTTTATGAAATGCACATTTTTGGTCCCTCAACAATTTTTTACACTTTTTTGATCCTTTAACTTTAAAAATTGCATAGTTTTAATCCTTCCGTCAATTAAGTGTGATGTGGCAGTTAAATAATTTCACGTGGCATTATCTTTTAATTTTTTTGATGATGTGGCAATAATACATATTATAATTATATTATATAAATAAATAAAAATGCCACATAATTTAATAATTATATTTTAATTAAAAACAAATACAATTACCTTATTACCCTCACCCTCCCAAACCCTCTTCTTCCCCTTCCTTCTTTCTTTCTCTTTCTTTCTTTCCTATGAACCTAGCAAACGAAACCTAGCCTTCCTCACCTTTCCAATCCCTCTTCTTCCCCTTCTTTCTTTCTCTTTCTTTCTTTCCCACCCTAGGTCGGTGGAAAGCTGGGTTCATCGAACCCAGCAGATGAAACCCAACAAGGCTGGGTTTCGACGAACCCAGCTGCTGGGCTCAGTTGAAACCCAACAAAGCTGGGTTCAATTGAAACCCAGCCTTGCTGGGTTTCGATGAACCCAGGTTCATCGGAACCCAACAGATATGGGTTTCAAGAACCTAACATGCTTAGCCAATTCCATGCATCTAACAAAAAAATCCTTTCTTCTTCCAATTTTTTGATCTTCCCATTCATTACCCGTGAGCCCTTCATCTCCTAATTCTTTCCATTCTACCCACGAAGAATCTATAATCACTCACAAATCTAGTTTGGCTAATTGTTCTCAGATCGTCGATTTACAATTTGATTGCATTTTTCTTGAAATTTGATTAGAGTTTGATTGTATTTTTGTTGGAATTTGATTAGAGTTTGATTGATATTATTTATTGAAAGGTTAATTTGATTTGATAACATCTGCTAGGTTTGAGGCTCCAATGAAACCCAGTAGCGGGGTTCAATGACAGAGAATTTCAAATTCTCTGGTTCATAGATATATTATTTTGTAAGGACTCACCCCACTAGCAGTAGAGGCAACTCAACTCGAGTTAGATTGATTTTGCAGAGAGAGATTGATTTTGCAAAGAGTGAAGGTGAGAGACCATTCTAGGGTTCACAGATCTTATTGGTGGTTTGCAAGCAATGTGAAAGCCATTGAAGGGTCTTTGGTGCAAGAAGAAAATGACATGTCATAAAAAAAAATCCATATCAGCACGTTTTAAAGTTGTCCTTGCCATGTCATCCAAAAAAAAATAAAAAATGCCACGTGGCCGAGTTAACAACTCAAATTGACAGAAGGACAAACGTTGTGCATTTCTTAGAGTTGAGGGATCAAAAAAGTGCAAAAAATTGTTGAGAGACCAAAAATGTGCAACTCACTAAAGTTGAGGGACCAAATTTAGCATTTAACCTTTATTGTAATGACTTGACACTAACAGTGAATTTCGATTGGGGGATTTAAAGGGGACGAGGAGGAGAGTGAAAGACGTCTTCTTCTCTTTATTTAGATTATTTCATTGATGAAGGGGGACAGATGAAGGGTGATGAAGCCCCAGCCACTCTTCTGTTTCTATGTTTCTAATAATCCTCCCCAATTGGGGGATATTGTCATGGATTTGCATTATATGTGCATTTATATTTTTAATTTTTTAAGAAAATAAATATATATAAATATTTTATGAAATTCTCTAATTTGTATCTTTAGAATACAAGTTAAAAGTATATTTATTGTAATTTTTTACCATTAATTTACATGAATAAAATAAAAATTGACTTAATTTTTATCAACTGTCTAACTAAATCATTCATTTGACATTAGTGTTGAAACTAAAATTTACTTTTGTAATTTTGTATACAAATTAATACCAATAAGAATGTGCAATAAATGCACCATAAGAGTGTAGGTTAGAAAAACTCATATTTTATTTCAATTATTTATTTAATTAGTAGTAAAATCTAAATATTTTATTTTATTTTTTAAAAATTATTTAATTAAATAAATATATTATCTTTCTAGCTCCTTTAATTTTGTCTATCCAAAATATGGTTAACAACAATAATTTTCTCTCCTTCACTTCTTCTCACTTCGATTCCCTTCTCTTCCCTTTCCTTTCCCTTGCTAATTTTTATTCAAACAAATAATTTGTTTGATTTTATAAGAGAGGGGAGGAATGGGAAGGGGTAGAAATTTCTATGTATTGGATAACAAAAATTTGGATGGCAGTGGTGGGGCGGGGTTTTTTCTTATTTATTTATTTTTATTTTTTTTTATTTTTGTATTTTAGTATAACCAAAAGAGGAAGGGAAGAGTGGAGGAAAATGGAAAGATGACATAGGATATCAAACCAAACGAGGGATAAGAGTGAGTTGGATTGACGGTTTGGGTGGGAGAGAGATGTAGAAAGAAATGGGAGAGTTCTCTCCTTTACTTGTTTGGCTTTTTACCATATAAAAGAGGGTAAGGAAGATGGAAAGGTGAGGAGTCCCTCCCCTCCTTGTTGGCAAAAATCAACATTTAGCCCTTTACCTTACAAAATTGGTAGATTTTTAACCCTTCAACTTATAATATGACAGTTTTAGCATTTTACCTTACAAATTTGGTAGGTTTTAGCCCCTCATCTTACAAATTTGGTAAGTTTTAACCTCTCACCTTATATTAGGACATTTTTAGCCCCTTACATATACGAATTGAAGAAAATAACTCCCACCTAATATTAGGTTATAACATTCTGTTGGTTTTATTAGCTGACTGTTAATATCCGTTAGTATTTCCTTATAAAAAACATGAAATTTAAATTCAATTTTATTTGTTAGTTCCATTAATGGAATGCTAATGGATGTTAATAGTCAGTTAACAGAACTAACAGTCAGTTAACAGAACTGACAGTCAACTAACAGAACTGACAGTCAACTAACAGAACTTACAGTTAACTAACAGTCAACTAACAGTCAATTGATAGTCAACTAACAGAACTGACAATCAACTAACAGAACATTATAACTTGATGTTAAATGAGAGTTATTTTTTTCAATTCATATAGATAAGAGGCTAAAAGTGTTATAGTATAAGATGATGGGCTAAAATCTATTAATTTTATAAAGTGAGAGATTAAAACCTACAAATTTTGTAAGATAAAGGATTAAAATGTCATATTATAAAATTAAGAACTAAAACTTACCAATTTTATAAGGTAAGGGGCTAAAAGTTGATTTTAACCCTCCTTGTTTTCCATTACCCTTGGGCTGGGGATTATATGGATTGGCTCAACCATTTATTTGTAAAAATAAATATATGTGAAATTTTTTATTTTAATTATTTATTTAGTAAAATTATAATATTTTATTTTATTTTATTTTATTTTATTTTTTAATTATTTAATTAAATAAAAATATTATTTTTCTCTCTCCCACTTTTGTTTATCCAATCGAAATTAACACTAACTCTTTCCGTTTCTTTCAAATCCTTCTCCTCCCTTTCATTTGTTAACTTTTATCCAAATATTCCCTAAAGCCTAAAACATTAAAACCAGTGTTCGACTTCCATATTCTCAACCCATTCACTCAGGCAGATCCTTGCTAACTTCCATATTCATTCTCTGCAATAACTTTTAGAAACTGCAGATAAGATGAGCGTCAAATCTTCAAGAAAATGATACATGGTTCCTCATGCTTCATCGATCGGAGCATAGAGCAGATAGGTTAAGATATAGATCATAGATGAAGATGAAGTATTTGAGCATCTATATAGCATTGATGATTTGATAATTTTGAAGACTTAAGTTGCTAGCAATTTATTGTTAAAAGTTTTTTTATTTTTATGTGAAATACATGTTTATACACTACATATTACATTAAGTTTATATTACAAAATTTGTATAAAGTGAGATTAAAACTGATAACTTTTTAAGTTATGGGGTTATCAATTTTTATCACGTGGGTCAATAAGGTTTTCTTTTTCTTTTTTTTTTTCTTTTTTTTTTATTCTAAGAGTTTTTAATTATTAATAATGTGTTTGATTTCTTGAAAGTCTTCATAATAACTCTAATTTAGATGCTAAACTAATCAAGGATAATCTCTCTCTCTCCTCTCTTTTTTTTTAATGAATAATCAAGTGTAATCTCTTCCTTAATGAAAGTGAGAGATTCTAATTTATTCTAATTAAATTACATCAAATATCATACATGTGGAGGTGGAGGGATAGTCTGATTAAGTTATGAGTTTTCTTAATTACGTATTTGATACTTTTTTAATCATAAATATTTATAAAAAATAAAAAATTTAATATTAATTTTAATGTTAATATTAAATAAATAAATTTAATTAAATAATTAATAAATTAAAAGATAATTTTTATTTTTTTAATATAAATGTATTTAAAATATATTTATTATACATTTAATATGTATTCTTAAAATAAAAATTAAAAAAACCCCTAAGTTATATCCTTGGCCTCTTAAAATAAACATTAGGTGAACATCGGTGAGACTATATTTTAAAAGTTTCATTTAATTTATTTTTAAATTACTTTTAATGCATAATTTAATTTATAAAATATAAATAAAATTTTTTAATACATAGCCAAAAGGCACAGGAGAAATAAATTCAATATAAATTTCATCAAAATTCTCTACGTGGCAAGCGGAAATTTTTTTTTTTTTTTATAAAAATCACGGGAAAATGAGAAGGCACAGATGTTTCAAGATAGGCGTTGGCTCCGCCAGCCTTGGCCGTCTGCTCCACTCAAACGCGTTCTACCCCTCAACGTCTTCCTCGATTTAGGATTTCTATTGAAATTCTCAATTGGGAAACTGAAACAGCAACCAAAACTGTACAGGGTCTGAAAGAATTCGACTTCCAGTGGGTTTGTTTCCGTTAATCTTGCTTTTTGCCGCCCTTATTGAAGCTTTTTCTTTTAAAATTTACAGGTGTAATTTGAAATAAAAGTTGGGTCTAACAGGTTGAAGGTTCCTCAAATTGGGAAATACAGGCAGTTTCCAAGCTATGGGTTTGCTTACTACCAACTATGGCCGCCATTCCTCCATGGGTTTGTGTTCGCTTTCTCCTTCCTTCTTTACTTCCACTCTCAACCAAGCAGAATTTCACTTTATAAAGAATGAGAATGCTGAATTTCAATTGTTAACTTCCATGACTGTGGTATTGTGATGTGTGTAATTGTAGGATCAAAATCCCATCTTTTACCTGAGCATTAGTGTGCGTTTTTTGGTCATTCTAAGTTGTCTGCTGGTTCTTACTTTTGTTTTGAAAATTTTGTCATATTTGAGTAGGTGGGATGTTTGTTGGCTTTCATGGTGCTCGAAAGCTTTTACCCACGAAATTACTCAGTGTAAGATACCCAAAATTGATGTTGCAGCGTTGGCATGCCTTGGGAGCAAAGGCCTTGGCAACTCGTAAATCTGTAAAGAAACCGAAAAGGCAGGTTCAACAGCGTAAAGATGTAGTTCTGGAGACAAAGAAGAGTTTATCAGAAGGGAACAGTGTAATAGCTGATCAGTCTTCCCCCAAAGATGATAGTGTTACAGATGGGAGTAATGCTTATGATAATTCAACTGCAAAGAATTCAATTTCTGTAGCTTCCCGGGGAAATGTGCTTCAGGCTTGCACCATCACTTCTGGATTGTTGGCTGCTTTGGGTTTAATAATTCGACAGGTAAGCTCACTATCACCAGCAGGATTTTCATATAATTTGTTTTTAGACCTTAGTTCTGGTTTCTGCTGATGCCTTGTTTGTTGAGAACCTATAATTTTAATGAAAATGAATGAATTTGATGCTAGAGCTTGCTTGAGTTGGTGAATCAATTGACCATTGCTTAAAATATTTCCTAATTGCAATTTGCAGGTATCTCATGTTGCATCAATTGAAGGGTTGCCGATTCTTGATAGCTCTTTGGAAGTATCATGTATAAAATTCATTATCAGTTTTTTGTTAGTTTATTGTTGAAATGTTAGTTTACTACTCCAAGGCAAGGAATTTCTGCATCTGCATCACAAGAGAATCCATGTTAAGAGATGGCTAACAAGATCAGAGAAAATAATATCACAGAATTGTCCTAAATGCTGTCCATAACCATTTGAGGTTACTTTGGGGATATAAGGATTTCTGAACTGGGTAATAATTAACCTCAAGTTCACAAGTGCTGAATGGAAATCAATTTTCTTAGATTATTCACCTTGAAAACAGTGCTTTTTTTTTGGTAAGAAATGCATTCTTCTCATAAATTTTTTGAAAATGATTTTATGCTTACTTGAAATAGTTATGTCTCAATTGCCATGACAGTTTGATGTGGAATTGTACATAAAAGCTCACACACTGGCATCATTGATAAACTTCCTTTCATGTGTTTGTCCCTTCCAGATTGATTAGTCTATTGTTTATATTAAATTATTAATATCAATAATCATGCCGATAGCCATGTATATGTGTGTTTGTTTGTGTGCATGCATGTGCAGCATTGTCTTTCATAGAAGTCACTTGTTTCTCTCTTGTCTACAGTTGGTTTTGAGATGTGGCATCTTGGGCTGATTATTGGGTTGGTTATATTAGTATCATCATGCCGATACCTACTACTGAAGTCATGGCCAGATTTTGCTGAGTCCAGTGAAGCAGCCAATCAGCAGGTAGTTCCTGTTCTGCTCAGTTTTATACCAGTATCCTAAATGGGCTCAAACCAATTGGATTTTGAAAGAACAGCATATAAATCATCTCTATTTACTCCCAGATAACAAGAATGAGTGAAGAATGGTCGATACACATTTAGGCCCTTGATGGAACGATATAATATTTAATCCTTGTTCCCAATCCAGTATTATTAGTTAGTCCTATTTCAAACCTGACTTGTCAATCTCCTATTGCAGGTTCTTACTTCTCTTCAACCTTTGGATTATTTAGTGGTTGCATTTTTGCCCGGAGTTAGTGAGGTAAGCAGAAAATGATTCATCAATTTTCCTTTATTTCTAGCTTTGATGCTATAGCATACCCCAATATGTGTGCTTCCTAGGAACTTTTTTTCCGTGGTGCTCTGCTGCCAGTTTTTGGATTCGATTGGAAGAGCGTCATCCTAGTTGCTGCTGTATTTGGTGTTCTTCACTTGGGCAGTGGTAGAAAGTATTCCTTTGCAGTGTGGTATTCATCTTCTTCACCTAACAAAATTTCATTCCAAATAATGTCATGCTTTGATCAAATTACAATCTAGTTTTGTGCTGTAGTACGCATTTGCAATATTTATCAATATCACCTCATGGAAAGCTGGTGATTGTTTATTTACCGTGCTTCAGGAATTCTTGAAGGTTTAATTACCCGTAAAGCATCATGATGTTTCTCTAAATTCTTCCCCATTCCTCTTTCAGGGCAACTTTTGTCGGGTTCGTGTATGGTTATGCAACAATTGTATCCTCTAGCATCATTGTCCCAATGGCTTCCCATGCATTAAACAATCTGATCGGAGCCATCTTGTGGCGCCAGACACCAAAGTCATTAGAATAGGGTATTAGATGAACTCAGTCTTCCTGATTTCTGGAATTGTATGCAATTCGACATGCCAAATCTGTAAAGTCCTTCCTTATAACTAACCTTACCCAGAAGGCAAAGTGTAATGTAACATAAAGTAACATGCATATTTCATAGTATTAAACTCGATTAAGCATAAATCAGCTTGAATTTCTGAAAAGTATGAAATTACTCACCAAGCAAGTTTATTTCAACAGAATTGTGAACTTTTATGCATCAACTCGTTTTATACCGCGTGCTTAATGTCTTTTTGAGTTAAACAGATTTTACTCGGCTTCCGTGTTTGGAGCGAGTGAAAATTCCGTGGGAGAATCCGATGGGATGCAAATTCCCCATATATAGCAGCGAAATCATTTTTATTTTTTCATCTGTACTTGTAATCATCATCGTCCTGGATTCCTTGTACTCTGCAAAACCCCATTTCAAATCAGTACTTCTACCTCCGATAATGTCATCATCATCGGTAAGATTCTCCGCCGCATGAAATTCGATTCGATTAAGATTTTCGCTACTGATTTCTGCTATCTGTTGTTCTAAATCTGCAGAACCGTGAGAGCCGGCCTCTGCCGAGATTTGGCCAATGGGACGAGAGAAACCCCGCCTCCTTCAACGAATTCACCGTCATATTCGAAAAGGCACGCGACGAGAGGAAGACGGGCGGCGCCACCGGATCCGAAATTCTGACGCCTGACAGATCAGAATCCCTGCAAAAGTACAATGGGTATGAAGAGAAAACAAGTAAATTCAAGAATCTCAAGGTATATATATGACTTACTCGCACAGGTTCCTTGATTATCCTGTTTCGATTTCTGTTGGTGTTCTGATCTGTTTTGTTCCTCTTTTCAATCGCAGAAAAAATGGTTTTGCTGCGGTTGAATGGATCATGAGTTTTTTCGCTTGGGGAGTTGCAGAGAATTATGTTGCGTACCTGTTTGTTTCCCGAGAAAAAGAATGAGAAATTACAAACATTTTGGCACCGATCTAATAAAAATAATCCAGTTCATAATATAAAAATTCCCTTTTTGTTCTGAATATTACTCCATATATATCAAATAATGTGATTTAAGTTTTGGCTAACAATCCAACAAACTTAGTGATAGTTGTCTTCTATTAAATGGAAGTAACCTATTTTGAGTTTAAGTTTAAGTAGCATATCATGCCATGTGGTAAGTGAATTCGAAAATAATATATTTATAATGTTATTTTTTTTTAAGTAATAAATGTTTTTTTTTTGAGTTATTTATTATATTATATAAATATATTTATTTAATGATATGTCAAGTTGTAAATTATTTTTTTTATATATTTATGGGTTAAGAGAGGATAAAATTGGAAGAGAAATAATTAATGAATAATAAAAATGTTATAATTATAATATTAGGTGACAAATAATGAAAATATTATAATTATAATGGTAGGTGACAAATTTATAATATATGTTTCGTTATATAATTAATTTTTTTTATTTAAAAATCTACTCATGATAATATAAGTATTTACTTATTTAATATCATAATATATTTATTTAATAAATTATTATAATTATAAACTTATAACCCTACATATTATATTATAACTATAACATTACAAAATGAATAATTGATTTCCTAAAATGTTTATTATTTTGAAACAAAAATTTTCTTTACAATGCCTATTAAGATAATTATATTGTAAGTTTATAATGATAAATTTTCTATTATCATTAAATTAACATATGTATACAATAGTGGATCTCAATACAAAAATTAATTATATAATAATACATTAAAAGTATAAATTTAAAATGTGACTTAACATTGTAAATTGTAAGTATATTATTCGGAGATGTGAATTGAATTAACGTTCATGCACCATGTCTGCTGCAAGTAATCTGCGGTAGACCTATGCTTGGTACCCATGATTGTTTGGCTGTGGTGTGCCATAAATTTTGAGCAAAACTTGTAACACAGATTCCTTAGTAGGGATGATGGTTTTAATCTTGGTAACCTAAAAAAGCAGGTACAAACTTGTTACTACTACAACATTAACTTGGAGCAGCCATGGGGGTTGTGTTATAACTTATGAGCTAGTTGCTGCATAATGGTGCAATTTTGTTTTGGTGCAACATTTACGAAGCACTTGTCAGTCTTTTCCTTAATAGGGAATTAGGGATCATGGTTTGAATCTTGGAGACCTAAAAAGGCTGGTACAAACTTATTACTACAACATTAACTTTTGTAGCAGCAGTGGGGGTTGTGTTTTGAGGTGGTTGATGCATAATAGTGCAATTTTGTTTTGGTGCAATATTTACGAAGCGCTTGTCAGTCTTCTTCCTCACACATCTCATATCCTCCAACGGCAGCCAGTCAAAACCAGACGACATGGTACCAGCATGCATCAACCACCTCATGACACAACCCCCATGGCTTCTCCTTGTCTCCTCTCTTGGCTTTCTCTCCCTCCTCACCCACACCCTCTCCCTCCTCAAATGGATCTTCGCCAAATTCCTCAGACCTTCCAAGAACCTCAAGCACTACGGTTCCTGGGCACTCATCACCGGCGCCTCTGATGGGATTGGAAAAGCCTTCGCACACCAATTAGCCCTTCATGGCCTCAACCTAATCCTAGTAGGAAGAAACCCCCAAAAACTGGAATCAGTCTCGACGGAGATTCTAGCTCAATCCCCTATTACGAAAATCAAGATCGTGACTTTTGATTTCTGCGGTGATATTTCGAAAGGCGTCCGCCTGATTGAGGAGGCGATTGAAGGGCTGGACGTCGGGGTGTTGATAAACAACGTCGGGATCACGTACCCGGCTGCAAGGTTTTTCCACGAAGTGGAGGAGAGGGTTTGGATGGACATCGTAAGGGTGAATCTGGAGGGAACCACAAGGGTTACCAAAGCGGTGATGCCGGGGATGATCAAGAGGAGGAGCGGCGCCGTCGTTAACGTTGGGTCCGGAGCCGCCATTGTCGTGCCGTCGCACCCTCTGTACGCAATCTATGCTGCTACAAAAGCGTAAGATTAATCTCACCAGAAATTCCTTCTTCTTTTTTTCACAAAATTAGCTTAAAAATTAAAATATCCGAATACCATATCGGGTTAAAGTAGCCGGCCAGGAAAAAGCGTAGTACCATACATTCTAATAGAAGAGAAGTGCATGTCCTTTTCAGCCGGATTTTTTTATTGTATTTATGATTAAATTGACTTTATGTCACCTTTTATTTATTTTTCTTTTTGAGAAAGTATGTCACCTTTTATTTATATACCTAAAACTAATATATTAGAAGTTTAGAACTCAATTTATAAAATTATGAATAATGATAAATAAAATCAAATTTTAAAATTAAAATTTAAAATTAATGATATAACATAATTTATATTATTTAAAATCCTAAAACAATTCAAAAACTTAAAAGATTGTGTTTAATTAAGGGTCTCATTTCATAAGTTAGTTAATATGCAAAAAATTTGTTTATTTTGATTATAATATTTTCATTTTTTGTAAAATATTTAATTAAATCCTAATAATTTCTTTGTATTTGAAATGATGATTATAATAAAAATAGTATAAATTGTATTAATTTTGAGTTATTGACTAAGAAAAATCATAAAAAGTTAAATGATAGTAACTAAATGTTTTACACTTTAAATAAAAAAATAATATGTGTACTAATTTTAAAAATTTTCAAAAGGTAAAGGGGCGCTCCCTTGGACCCCTCTCTCTCCTCCCCTATTCTCACTGATAAATAGACTTGCTGCGTTAGCCCATGATGGTTTTGTGGTCATCCACTTCAAGCGTGGGTTAAACAACATGTTTTGGATTCTACACTCAAAACTTACTTTTTCTCTCAAAGCAATTTCGTTCAAAAAAATAAATAAATAAATAGAATTGCTGCAAATGAATAGGTTCGTGGATCAATTATCAAGATCTTTGCATGTGGAGTACAAGGGCTGTGGCATCCACGTCCAATGTCAGGTGTTAATATCATTTGGGGCTCTTATTATCAGATTCAAATTAATCAAGTCCTTCAATTATGCCTTAATTATAATTGATCTATTTTTGGATTTTTTGGGGTACATGATCTATTTTTGGATAGGTACCATTGTATGTGGCAACTAATATGGCATCCAAGGCAGCATTGATTGAGAAATCGACCCTCTTTATTCCATCAGCAAATGATTATGTACAAGCAGCTATTTGTCACATCGGTTATGAGCCACGGTGCACCCCATATTGGGCTCACTCGATCCAATGGTGCTTGGCTCGATTGCTAGTACCAGATGATGTCCTTGATGCTTGGCGTTTCTATATTGGAGTCAATAGGAGAGGGAAACCCAAATTTGAGTAGAATACTTGTCAAAGTAATTAGATGAATTAATCAAATTAAATATGTGTAATTGATTTTCCTGAATGAATTAGATCCATATGGTTGTTATATATATAGTTTATATACAGTGTAATTCCTCTGTTCAATTTTAAAATATCTAATTTTTAATTTAAAGTGTTTAAATTTAGTTTTTTTTTTTTTAGAAAATCATTTACTACACTCAATCCTATTTTACTCTTATTTTAAGTAAGAAGGTTTATTTAAATAATAATTAAGAATAAATATAAAATTTTATTAATTAATTATTATATTTTTATTTTATTAAATAAAAAAATTAAGCATACTAAAATCAAACATAGAGCAAAGCCAAAAATTTTTCTTGGCAAATACTTAATTTGAGCCCTTTACCTTTATAAGTTTGTAGGTTTTAGCCCTTCACCTTATATTATGACACTTTTAACCATTTACCTATACGAATTAAACAAAATAACCCTTATTTAATGTCATGTTAACTAATTATTAATTCTGTTAACTGATTGTTAGCATTTCATTATAGAAAACATAAAATTTAAATTTTATTTTATTTGTTAATTCCGTTAATTAATAATTAACTAATAAAATTAATAATCAATTAACAGAACTAACAGTCAGCTAATGGAACTAATAAAACGTTATAACTTGACATTAACTAAGGGCTATTTTCTTCAATTCGTATAGGTGAGGAGTTAAAAGTGTCATAATATAAAGTGATGAGTTAAAAGTGTCATAATATAAGATGAGGGATTAAAACCTACAAATTTATTGAGGTAAATGGTTAAAAGTAGATTTTTGCCATTTTTCTTAAGGAATGCAAGAGCAAGACTTTCGAGAACATTCTAATATTTAGAATTTTTTATGCGACACATGTTAAAAATAAAGACTTTTATGTGACATTTCTAAGATT